GAAATGAAAAAAACATATCGTGATATGAAAAAATCTTATATCGCCCAGCTCCAGCTTTAAGTGTTTAAAATTTGTAAATAAATGTATCAGCTGATTGATAAGAGGCGTCCCACAGACTGAAGCAAAGGACAGACGACTACATTTCTCTACAACTGTATTATTTTTTATTATATAAAATGATCAGTTTGTCTTCCAAAAAAAGCCGAAACGACTGCAACTTGTTTAAAATCCAGAGAGACGAATGCAGTTTGTTAGCGATATTAATACTAGCAGTTATAAAAACCAGCTTATGGTAAATCATTACAGTGTTGTTTGGGTTACATCGCTTACTTTTGGGGTCTTAAAAACACCATTGTCCTGTAATAAACCGAATGAATCCTATTGATTATAATATGAACTAATAAAAGTAAATCTGGTGCAGTTTTGCTCTGCTGCTACTTTTAATCTGCCAGCAGAGCACGAATCTGATTTTGTTTTTGTGATTTTAACACGTCACTGCTCTCGTTTCTTTCAGTCCTGACAAAGTCGGGCCCGCTGGGCGAGTGGAGGAGGGCGAAGACGGAGGTGAGTCTGAAATCAGAAACTTGGTTTCTCACATTTGAGCCGCAGAGGAGACGAACGAGTTTTAACAGCTGCCACTGATTCGGTTTCAGGACATCACGTCGAGAAACGAGTGAGGAAACGCGTCTGGAGAACCTGAAGGAGGAAAAGGCGAAAAGGTCGGATGGGACTCAGCAGAAACGTTAGATTCTGACTATTATTTCACTTTATGTTTGCATGTGAGGTGCACAAAATAATCTGAGCTCCAGAAAACATTTTAGAGCAAACATTTCTCCTTTTAAAACAAAAATCAGCAGGAGGCTGCTTCGTGCTTTTAGTCAGATTTAAGCCATGAAATGTCTTCTAGCTGAAAAAAGTTGTTATTAAAGTGTTGGAGCTCAGTGGCACATGTTAGTAGTTTAGCAGCTTAGAAAGCTAAAAACATTCATATCAACTCAAAATGTAGCCGATGTATTTTAGGAGTGTCTTCTTTCTTTGGTTTGTAGGTGATCTTGGCTTTTTTGAGCGTTCCAAAGTGACCAAACGTCGGACGTTTAATGTCTGCAAAACATTTTCAGGGTTAAAGGGCAAAAAATAAATAAAAATAAGAGCTGTGACTTTTTATAAAAACCAAATAAACAAAAATCACCTGGAGGCTATAAAAGTGCCATTTTATCCCTCCAGAATAAACAGAACGAAGAGTTTTACTACAAAATAAAATACCCACAAACACAGTGAGTATTTTCACATTAAAGTTCAGCTCAGATTTTATTGTGAAAGCTGGATTCCTGATCATTTTACTGGTACAAAATACTTTCTTACATCTATAAAATCATCGCCAGGTTTAATTTGCTGACATTGCTTGATGACAGGTCAGTGGGCGGGGCCATAGTGTCCAGTAAATCATCCTGATTGATCACAGTCAGATAAATGGGAGCTTATGAAACCAGCAGAGGCCGTTAAAGCAAACAGACCTCCAGAAGGTCCTCTCAATTCTCCACCGGACTCTCAAACAGCTAACAATCATCTACTTTAAGAATCTTCTCAGGACTGTTTTGAGCAGGGTTGTCCAACTCCTGGTCTCAGGGGCCCCGGTGTCCTGCAGGTTTCAGATCTCACCCTGGGTCAACAAACCTGAATCAAATGATAGTTCATTAGCAGGCCTCTGGAGAACTTCAAGACATGTTGAGGAGGTCATTTAGCCAATTAGATCAGCTGTGTTGGATCAAGGACGCATCTAAATCCTGCAGGACTCCGGCCCGTGATGCCTGGAGTTCCCCACCCCGGGTTTAGAACATCTTTAGCTGGATGAAGAATGTCGAGAACAATATTGAGGCTTCTGGGCTTTTTATAAACCAATAAGGTCCTTGGATGCCTGCTCAGACCTCCACAAGAACTCCTGAATCCTCCTGAAGCACTTTGAATCTGCTGCCTTCCAAACTTTCCTTGGACAAGAACCACCTCATAGCATAGAGGCTCATTTCCAGGATCTCGCCCAAATTCGGGTACTGGATCAGGAAATACATACTCATCATATGGTACGGATCTGGCCCGCAGCTGGCTTACATCATTAAAATGCATCCGTGCCGGTATTGGGCCGTTGTGCTAAAAGACACCAGCTCAGGTCGGTTGCACGGATCCGGTCCAGAACTTAAGACGGATCTAGCCTGAATATATTTGATCTGGGTTATTTCCCAGTTTTAAAGAAAATGGGTAACAGTAGTGTCCATTATGCATTTGCTGATCTCTTGGCCACTAGAAACCATGTGAGGTTGTTACAGAAGGAAAATTCTCACATTTAATTTGCAGTAAACGCTTGAAAATTGTGTGTATTTAATGTTAAAGAGCTATTTTCAGATAGTTATTCTCTGCAGCATTTTGTGGTAAAACTCTTCAGCTGTTAGGTGCCTTCAATCAGCCAGCAGTGCTCACACGCTGATAATAATAAAGGGAACCCTGAGATGCTGTTGAAACGCACTGACAGATGTTGAACGGAAAACGAAAGGTGAGAAACGCAGATAAAGTTCAAACATTCTGCCTTTGAGTGGTTTCTTTCACTGCGTTTGTTTTTGTCTGATTCTTCGGAGACTTTAATGTGGTACAAATGTAATCCGTACAGGTCGAAGGTCAAATATGTTATTTATGACCTGGTTACACAAACACATATAAAGCTCTTATTTTTAAAAGCAAATCTGCCTTTATAAGGAGCAATAATTCCAGAAAATGGAAGAAACAATAAGCTGGGAGAACGTTTGTGGATTTGGGAGAGAACTCTTAAAGTCAAAATA